GAATAGGCTCAGTCTCCAGCCGCTTAGTCCGCTGCATCTTATGCCGAAGGAACACCAAGCTGCTTGCTGTCCATGTTGTCTTTCTGATTTCACCCCTTCCCTGGGCAGCCGTGACGCTGCCGTTTCCGCCTGCTCTGCGCTCCCTTCTGTTTTCACATCTGGCCACTATCTTTTTATCTTTCAGAACTCAGTTCTGGAATCATCTTCTCCAGATACCTTTCTCAGCTCAGCCAATCTGAAATAGGTGCTGACGCCCGTGTGCTCACATAGCAGCTGCTGTGGTGCCACTTACCGTAAATAGCTCCTCAAAGGGCACAGACTGCACGCTGGGTGCCTTTCTGTCCTCCGTACCTCATGGAGTACTTAGCACATCATTGGTATTCAGTGGGCTGTGTTGAAGTCAAGTCCTAACACTGGTGATTGTATATAAGAAACATAAATACTGGGTGTCGCGATGGAAAGAGAGATGGGCTTGTTTGCGTACATGCAAGTGGACTGACCGCTGGGGAGGCTGCACAGTGGGGGGCCCTTCATCACCAGGGGTGAGGCCTTCGTACCGCATTCCAGGTTACACCATGCTGAGCACTCGCCCTAAGTGCCATTTAATCATATGGCAGGCATGGCTACTCCTCCCGTTTTTCCAGTGACGAAAGTCATTTACTTCCTAGTCCCACTGAAGGCAGGCTTGTTGGGGCAGTAGTCGGAGAGGCGCGGTTCTCCCTCCATGCTGAGGAGGTCTGTTTTCTCACACGGACGCTGGGGCTGGAAGAGCACCCCCCCGGTTGTGTGTGGCGCGGCGCCTTTGAGAGGGCGCACCCCTCAGCCTGCGTTAAGTCTGAGTTTTCATCTCTTCCCAGCCTGCGGCCTGGGCGGGGCACGTCGGCCTTTCTGTCCCGGGGTTTCCTCATCCGCAGAACGGGGTTGCTGGTGCTCCCTGTCACTGGGCTGCCGTTGCCACAGGGCCAAGAGGACTCAGAGTGCACCTTGTGCTTGTGCTGTTCATCCAAAGCGGTGCGTGCCCGTGACCTGCCAGCGCATACCTAGGGGTCTGGCAGGAGGGATGTACGTTCTGACTTGTGCAAAGCTGTGACCACATGAGTAGCTTATGAACAACTGTGTCTTTACTAATAGAGAAAAGTGAGAGAAAGAAAACAACCTAAATCCACAACAGCGGTTACTGATTCAGTTATTGTTTCTGTATATCTGTATGTGAATGATATACAGATTTTTTTGCAGCCATTAAAATTTATGCTGTACATGAATGTTTAATGTCATGGAGAACAAACCACATGTCAAGTTTAAAAAGCAGCCACTGAAATAAAAGGATGCTAAGTGTGATTTATTGTGTTTTTAACAAAATATGTGTAGGCATAGACAAGATGGTAAGCAGGTACATTAAAATGTGAAGTATTTCTATCTCAGGTAAACTTCTGGATGATGTTTGGTCTTTGTGTTCTGTAATTTAAAGTATTCTTTGAACTGTAGTAGTGCCTGCTTCTCAGGGTTGCTGTGAGGTAGGAGAAGCCGGCTAAGCAGTTAGACAGTGCCTGACCCTGCAAACCCGACAAGCAGTGCATCGTGCTCCAGTCGTGAGCCAGTGAGGAGGGCTTGGGCCCTTCCTACCCACAGTGCAGTCCTTGGGGGTCAGCAGCGTCGACTTCCCTGGGGGCTCTGTAGGAAAAGTGGAATCTTGTGTCCCTGGCGCGGTCATCCCAGTCAGAGTGTCTTTTAACAAGATCCCGAATGATCCCCGTAAATACAGACCAGGAGGGCGTGGCCCTGGGCCTGGGC